CCTGAGGCCAAATTTAATCTTGGCCTGACTCTAGGCCAAGGACAAAATGGATAAGTTTGACCCTGATGTCAATCTCTCCTGAATCTTCCAGGAATTTGCCTGGTATTTGGTAGACACAATGAATTCTGCTTGACTGATTAATTATATTTACTCCCCACTTCTATGTTCAGTCTCTCCTGTGTAGTAACTTCTGTGAGATTCAAGCTCCTATCTTTAAAAATTCCTTTATTTGGTCCTGCTATCTCCCTCAGGCCTATATTTTTCTTCTCTAGGCAGTCAGATGGCACAGTGGATAGAGGGTTGGACCTAGAGTCAGAAAGTACTGAGTTCAAATCTGGCCTCAGACATTTTTCAGTTATGTGATCCTGAGTAATTTATCCTAGTTTAGTAATTTAGCTTGAGTCTTAGTTTCTTCATCTGTAAAATGGGGAGGATAATAACACTGAGGAAGGAAAAGAAAGAATAGAGAGGAAGGGAAAAAAGGGAAAGACAGGATAAAGGATGGAGGGAAGAAGGAAGGGAGGAAAGAAAAAACAGGGAAGAAGGGAAGGAAGGCAGAGAAAAGGGAACGAAGGAAAAAGGGAAAGAAAAAAGGAAGGAAAGGAGGGAGAGAAGAAACCTATATGGCTTTCTAAGTATGCTTTTATGTATCTGAACTCATCATAGAATCCCAGACTTGTACAAGGACTCAGAGATCATCTAGTACAATCCAGTGAACAATTCTGCAGTCCCCTTTATCTTACTCCTTAGAGTTTATATTCTTGTTTCTACTCAAATACCTCATTATCTAATGAGGCAGTCTGTGTTCATACAACTCTGATCATTAGAAAGTTCTTCTTTACATTGACTAAAAAATCTATTTCCCATTTGCTTCTTCCCGCTAGTACTAGTTCTACCCTCTGGACCTATGTACTTTGGGAAATGAAAAAAAAATCATATTGACACTAAAATCAATTCAAAGAATGTGTGTGTGTGTGTGTGTGTGTGTGTGTGTGTGTGTGTGTGTGTGAATTAAAGGCACTCACTGATGAGGACAGTCCCACAATCCTGACATAAATCATCTTATACAGCGGACAGTTTAACTTCATGCTCTTTTTTAAGGTCTCCAACATGCCAGAGTGGTTACAGTATTCACGATGGGTCTTTCTTACCAAAAGGCAGTAGAAGGTAGGTGCAGGGGGAGAAGGAGGAAATCAGGGGTGTGCTAGAGCCAGATTAAAGCAGAGATCTGATAGCTAAATTTGTAGCCGATATTTATTCACACCTCAGAAATCAGCTTGATTTATTGTTCTGTCAATTGTCTGCCAGGGATGGGGAGCCTGTGGCCTCGAGGCCACATGTGGCCCTCTAGGTTCTCAAAAGTGGCCCTTTGACCGAATCTAAACTTCACAGAATAAATCCCTTTAATAAAAGGAGATAAAATAAAAGGAGATAACATAAAAATTCCCTTTTATTAAGGGGATTTGTTTGTGAAGTTTGGGTTCAGACAGAGGGTCGCACTTGAGGACCTAGAGGGCCACATGTGGACTTGAGGCTGCAGGTTCTTCACTCCTGGACTAGATTTAAGAAGGTGATGGAGAAAATATTAATAATTCAGATTAAATTTAAAAGCATATTGTACACACATCTTTTTTTTCTCAGTGAGGCAATTGGGGTTAAATGACTTGTCCAGGGTCACACAGCTAGTAAGTGTCAAGTGTCTGGTCTGAGACCAGATTTGAACTCAGGTCCTCTTGACTCCAGGGCTAGTGCTCTATCTATTGCACCATCTAGCTGCCCCTATCTTTGTTCTTTTTTCAATGGTGACACAGTTGTTAAACATTTACCAACAAATCCCTAGACAGAATGTTGATGATTTGCAGGTATTTAGCATACTGGTTAATTCAATATATGCATTTCAAGGCATTCAATAATTCTTCAATGTCATAAGACCATATGCTTGGAGGTAGAAGAGACTTTACTAATCCAACTCCTTGATTTAACAGATTAGGAACTAAAGTGCAGAGAAGTCAATTGACTGGTTCAAGGTCATACAGGTTCTAAGTGGCAGAATCAGGATAATACCAACTGAGGTTGTGTCCATACCACAAGGGCATGGTGGATAGGGCACTGGACTTGGAGTCGTGAAGTCCTGGATTTAAATCCTGCCTCAGACACTTAGTAACAGTCACCTTGGGAAAGTTCTTTCACCTCCCTGTGCCTTAGCTTCCTATTAAATGAGGGGTTTGGACACAGTGACTACCAGGTTTCCTTCTGCCTCTAAATCTCCAGTCCTCTGAGACCGTAATTCAAATCCAATGCTATTTCCACAATCTCATCTGCTGGTTCTTTCAGTGCCCAGGTCTGGTGACTTATGTTCAGGGAGAGCTGTGGTCTGTTAACGCTTTTTCATCTGTCTTGGTTTTCAAGTTCCTGTTGCCCGGCTCAAAAACACCACTACTCTTCCTCATGTGGAGGTCTCAGTAATGTCTGTGGGAATTAGTTCCATGGATTACAAACAGTCGAGGGCTACTATAATGAAGGATGACACATCACGAGGCTTTTACATGACTCTAGCTCTCAGGAGTCAGGATATTTCATTTCCCTCCAGACCAAAATCAATACTGAGAGTGGAGATGTATGGGCATTTGAAGATGATTGTTTGTCAGGCAGAAAGGATCAACATTTGGGGTTTCTACCAATGATAGAATATTTTTTTTCCCCCTCTCTGGGCATATGGAATACAGATTTCATTTCACACACCACAGGACACCTCAGCTCCTCTGTCTCAGAACACGATTGTGGGAAGCATTAAGGAAATTAAATGGTGAGAGCTGAAGATCCAGCTCTCCTGCAAATCACAGAAATTAGATTTGGAAGAGACATTAGAGATCATTTAGTCCAACAGACTCATTTTATACATGAGGAAACTGAGTCTCAGAGAGATTAAATAACTTCCAAGAATACATAACTCACAGAGGTAAGCCCTGTTATGCCACATGTAGTGCTCTCTACCCAGAAGCAAGCCTGAGGACTGTGTCTAAGTAAAGTGTGTGCCTTCAAAACAACTTGAGATTGGAAAGGCTAGTTTTGAGGTAATTCTTCTATGTATGTGTTTGGTGGGGAGAATGTGTTCTGCATTTTAGATGATGGGGATCCTATTTTAACCTTTGTATTTTTTTTAAAGTCCTTGTTATTTCCTCTGCCCAAATTAAGTTGCACAGTCAATTATTACATAAAAATGTAAGCAGATCATCACAAGCCTGCCCTGCAATCCAGGAAACTCCCTGATCAGCCAGCAGTAGAGACTAGAATTGTAAAAAAGGCCTAATGAGTTTGATTCAGATTGCAGAGGACAACCAATCCTAAATCAGCAAAAGGTATCTCTGGAGGAAGATACCATTCTTTTCTAGAGTCCTAAAGAAGCCACAGTCAACAGTATCTGATGCTTGGTCTGAAGAGTTTCTTTGCCCAAGCTAAGCCAAAAGAACTTTCCTTAAAAATTAGGTTAGAAAATCTAAGGTTATCATCTACTTTGGGACTGGGCAGTTATGTTTTTTGTCACATCTAGTGATTTTATTAGTGTAGACAACTCAGTGGCAAAGAAATTCCTTCTGCCAATACAGATCAGCAACTATTGTGATCTTGAAAGTTACCTAGGATGCTGGGGAGTCAAGTTATGTACCCAGAGTTGCATAAGTATCACGTGCTGGGGGTAAGACTTAAGCCCAAATCATCCTAACAACAAACTACATCTCTACTTACCAAACTATGAAGTTTCTTTTATACATTACAAATCACCTTATTCTGGTGATTCATTTCTGAATTTGAATATTCTCCTTGGCTTTATTAACAAATCCTAGAAAACCTACTCTTGTCCATAGTGTGTGTGATTGGAGCATACTGTCTAGAATTGCAAAGTTCTTTAGATATCATCTAGTCCTTACCCCTCCAATTTTATAAAGAAACTGAGGATCATATAAGGGAGGGATTCACTCAAGGTCAAGCAGGTAAATAGCAGAGCAGAGACTTAAATGTTTGTAATTGGATAGATTTAGAGCTTCAGGGGACCTCAGATTCTACTCCAATTTATTCATTTATCAGATGAGGAAACACAGGTTCTTCTGCTAATTCAAACCTTGACTGATGCTACTACCCTCACCCTCCTCTGCCTTCTGATTAGAAGGCATAGTACCGAATGCCTTCCTTTACAAAGGGTAGAAACTGGAGTTTTTAGCTTGCTCCACTCTGTATCTGTTGTTCAGCCTGGTTTCAACTCCATGGAACAATATGCCTTTGCACTGGGTACCCCCTGGACTGCCCTGACTCCTTACCCCACTTTCCTGCCTCCTTTTATGTTTTCTCCCTCTATTAGATTATAAACTCTTTGAGGGCAAGGACTACTTTTCTTTTTATTAATTGTATCCCCAGCGCTTAGCAAAGGGTTTGAAACATAGTAGGTGCTTAATAAATGTGTATTGGAATGGATTGGATTGGAAGTAACTTTCCAAGACAATACAGGTGATGACTTAAACAGATGTCTTCAATACTTTTTCAATACTAATATACTGGGTCACTATGTACTATACATCAGGAGAAAGGGTGGTAGGAGGGGAGGAGTACTTAGGGATTGAGTGCAGCAGATCTCAGAATCCAGGAAACAAGGAGGCTCTTGGTACAGAGGAGGACTGGAGGGTTCAACACTCCTCAACATAGTTTTCAGTATTTAATGAAAGAATGAAAATTAATAGTTCCGTTCCCCAAAGCAAAAATTCTTCTGCTCCAGTTCAGAAAAAGATGAAAACCCTGGGAAGCTGAGATCAGTAAGCACTAGAGCTCTGGTTCATCTCCTTCACAACCTGATCACCATTTGTGCTACATTGCACACCTGGGACCCACGTAACTCCATCATCTCTGGTTGTGTAATTAAAAAGCTTTCACAGGCAATTGAAAGCTACTTTCGCCATGGATGGTGTTAAGCCCAGAAGGAAAAAAAAAAAGGTTTAAAGGCAAATACTCACGGAAAGAATCTGGTCTCCTCTCTGGAGCTCCCCACTCAGGTCTGCTGGTCCTCCAGCTAGAATAAAGGATACGAAGATACCTTCTCCATCTTCTCCGCCCACAATGTTAAAGCCCAGCCCTGTGGAGCCTTTGTGCAGGACAACTTTCCGAGGCTCACTGTGGAGACAAATGGCATTATTTAGACCTGTGATTACCTAGGAGGCCACATTGGCTGTCTTTTGCTTTTAGATATATTGGCGTACTTTTGCTACTACTACTAGCTAGGTAGCTAAATATATATATGTCTAAACATATGTCTATTTGTAGATATCAGTACCTCTATGAACGTATACATATAGAAAGTAAGCTAGCATCTTAATCTTTCTCCTGAAAACACCCAATATCAATCTTTCTCCTGAACTTCAGTCCAGCATTAACAACTGAATGTCAGACATTTCAAAAATGCCTATATCATTGGCTTCTCAAACTCAACTTGTACAAAACTGAACTCATTATCTCTCCCCTTAAACCAGGGGTGGGGGAACCTGCAATCTTGAGGCCACATGTGGCCTTCTAGGTCTCAAGTGCAGTAACAGGCTGCACTTAAGGACTTAGAAGGCCATATGTGGTCCGGAGGCCTCAGGTTCCGTACCCCTGCCCTAAAACCTCGCTTCTTCCCAACTTCTCCATTACTATCAAGAGTACCCCCATCTTCCCAGCCATCCAGCCTTGAAACATTGTTATCAACCTCTACTCACTCACACTATTTCCCCTCCCCACCCTGACCTATCCAATCTGTTAAATCTTGTTGTTTCTACCTTTACACCATCTCTTGCATACATTCCCTTCTCTTCATCCACATGGCCACCATCCCAGCACAGGCCCTTATCGCTTCTTGTCTAAAGTACTGCAATACCCAGCTGCTTGGTTTCCCTCCTCCAACCCTCCCCTCCACTCCAATCTATCTTTTGTTCAACTGCAGATGTGATCTTCCTAAAGTGCAGGTCTGATCATGCTGGCTTCTTATTCAACAACCTCCAGTAACTCCCTATGGTCTGTAGGATCCAACAGTAAATCCTGTGTTTGGAATTTAGAGTCCTTCACAGCCTGGCCCCTTTCTGCTTGTTTAATCTTAGACTTTACTCCACTTCACATGTGCTATGATCCAGCTACAGGCCTAGTTACTATTCCAAACATGAACTGGATACCCCCATTCCTGAATGTTCTGCCTTCTCACCTCTCCCTCTTAACTCTCCTGATTTCATTCAATATTCAGCTTAATTCTCATCTTTTGCAGGAAGGCTTTCCTGGTTCTTATCCCTCCTGCCCCTCAATGCTTTCCTTCTGAGATTACCTTCCATTTCGTGGGAATCTTGCTTTACCAAGTTACTTACGTGTTTCTTCCCACCATTGGAATATGAGCTCCTCGAGAGCAGGGACCCTGTTTTTGCCAGCTCTGATCAACTTCTGAGAGCAATTTTTAAATTTTCAGTGTGAGCATTTACACCTCAGAAATGGACAAATAATACAAATCAGGGCTCAATTTACTGTTTTGTTGATTGTGTAGACTTAAATGATAGAGAAAATGTTAATAATGAAATTTAAAAGTGCATATGAGCATTTTTTTTTCCTTTTGGAGAGCCCAATTGTTAAACATTTACTAGCACACTCCTGTACTGCTCTATAAATACTGCTTGAGCTCAGCAGGAATGTAGCAAAAGGCTCAGGGAGTGAAGTCATTACCACATTAGAGGCCTGGTGACAGGATGCTAACAACAATAATAATAATAATGGTAATAATAATGATAATAATGATAATTATTATTATTATTACTGGTATTTATTTAGTGCTTAACGTTGGCAAAGTGCTTTATATTCATCATCTCATTTAAGTCTTACAATATCCCTACCCCAGTGCTTAGCACAGGGCCTAACACATAGTAAGAGCCTCATAAATGCTTTCAGATAGACCAGAAAGATCACTGATATAGGAGTCAGACAGCCTGGGTTCTTACTGCCACATGTAGCCAGTGTGACTTGTGAAATTGGTAGTATAAAAAATTATCCCTGTTTTATAGACAAGAAATTGAGAGTAAGAGAGGTAGAGAGACTTGGCTACGATCACATAGTTAATGAGTGTTGAAGTTGGGACTTGAACCCAGGTCCTAAGACTAGTTCTTTCAACTATATCATATAAATGTAAAGAAAAATTAAATGCATTTTCTTTAAAGCCAGAAGACAAACTTAAAATAAGTTTTAATAAAAGCCTTCTGGAAAGAGCAAAATATTATTTCCAGGATCAGCTGCCATATTTTTTCCCTTTCTTTTCTTCTTTAACCCTTGGTCTCTTCCTTTACCCAGCCTAATTTACTATTTTGTAACTGTATTATACAACTTAGCATTTAGCCATATTCTGCCTGTCATTGTTTTCTAATGATTTCATGTCTGTAAATCATGTATTTCCAAGCCCAGTATACAATTTTTGAATGCTGGGACTACATCATTTACTTCTTTTCTGTCATCCATGTTAGCAATAATAGAGCACACAGTTGTACAAAGAGTAGGCATTCAATAAATATTTGTCGATGACAAATATGGAAATGCATTTTCCATGACTGCACACGTATAACCTATATCAAACTGCATGCCTTCTCAGTAAAGGAGAGGGGAAGAAAGGAGAGAGAGAATTTGGAACTCAAAATTTTTAAAAAATGAATGTTAAAAATGATTTTTATGTGTAATTGGCAGAAAATTAGATATTAAATAAATACATTTAAAATATTTGTTGGATAATGATGGTTTATCAGATATCAAAGAATTAAAACACATTAACTTTTCTTTGATGAGTCAGAAGCAATTTCATGATGTTATAGAACTTGTCTTATCAATGTGAACATGAATTTTCATGGAATTTTAGAATAGAAGGGGAACTTGGAATTCATCTAGCCTAACATTCTAATTTTGTGAATAAGAAAATTGAAGTCCTGAGAAGGGAAATTATTTGCCCACGGTCATGCAGTTAGACTTACTAGAACTCACCTCTTCTGACCTCCTAGCTTAAGAGCTCTTTACGTTAACCAAATTGATTCATTATCTGACACTGGAAGGCATTCTATTGTGGCAGAAGTATTAGGCTTAGAAGATCTGGATTATATTCCTGGCTTTAACATTCACTAGCAATGTGGTCTTAGACAAATTATTTTTCTTCCTTGAATTTTTTTTTTCAGCTGTAAAATGGGGATATTGTGATTTGGGCCTCTTAAAAATCAAGTAATTCAACCTCTCCATTTTACACCATAGGATACCGAGACTTACAAAGGAAAAGTGACTTTCTCAAACTTATAAGGTGATAAGTAACAGCTGGGACTCAAAGCGACATAATCTGACCCCATTAAATTAAAAATTAAATTAAATTAAATTTCAAAAAGCCCAATTTCCCCATTAAATACAGACAAATCTAATGATCATTTCTTATCACCCTTTTTGACTTTTCTGCTAAATTTGACACTGATGACCGCCTTTCTCCTGGAAACTTCTCTGCATTTTTTTTGTGATTCTACTCTCTCCTGGTTTTCCTCCTACCTCTCTGACAACTCTTTTACAGTCTTCTTTTCTGTTTTACCATCCATATCATGCCCCTTGATTTTGGAGGTACCCAAGAGCAGCTAGATGGTACAGTCGATAGAGTGCTGGGCCTGGAGTCAGGAAGACTCATCTTTGTGAGTTCAAATTCAGCCTCAGACATTTACTAGCTATATAATCCTTGGGCAAGTCACAACCCTTTCAATTTCCTCATCTGTAAAATTAGCTGGATAAGGAAATGGTAAACCACTCCAGTATCTTTGCTGAGAAAACCCTAATTGGGGTCACAGAGTTGGACACAGTGAAAAACAACTCAACAACATGTCCTGGCCTTCTTCTCTTTCTATAGTCTATCTCACTGACCTCATTAGATCCCAAGGGTTTAATTATTATTCTATGTAGGCAACTCATAGATCAGCCCTAGTGTTTCCTAAATTCAGACTCACACTATTAACTTCCTGTTGGTCATTTAAAAATGGATGTCCCGTAAGTCTCTCTAACTCACTATGTCCAGAACACACTTCACCATTTCCTTCCTGCTCTTCATTTGCCAAAGTTTTCTACTTTATAGAACCTGAATGTTTCTGTTGAGGACATTACCATCCTCTCAGACTCTCTGGTTTATAACTTCAGTATTATCCTTATTCTTTCTCACCCCACATGAATAAACCAATTGACAGATCTTTTAATTTCTAACTCAATATCTCTTGCATTTAACTCCTCACACAGCTACCACTTTAGTAGAGGCTCTCTTCTCCTCTACTGCAGTGGCCTCCTAGTTGCTCCCCCTCACTCAAATCTGTCCCTCTCAAATCCCAAATCCATATAGAGCTACCAGCAATTTTAAAAAAAATCTCCCTTTTTTTCAATTAAGAAGCATTTTTTTTCTTCTTTCTATCCCACTCCTCCCTCCCCACCCCAGCTGGAAGAGAAAACCTCCCAAGAAACTATAACAAAACTCTTTAACAAATATTCATAGTCAAAACCAAAACAAAACAACTCAACAAATTCCCTCTTTGTCTATGTCCAAAAAAAAAAATACAACTCATTCTGCATATTGAATCCATTACTTCTCTGTTAGGAAGTGGGGAATATTCTTCATCATTTGTAACCTGGAATCATGGTTTACCAGATAAAGGCATTTTTCAAAAGAACAGAGCTGATTATACCATGTCCCTACTTAATGAGCTCTTCTGGGTCCCCTTTGCCTCTGGGATCAGACACAAACTCCTCTTTTTGTCTTTTAAAGCCCTCTACAGCCTGGCCCTAAGCTATCTTTCCAGCTTCCAATTTCAGAATTTATACTTCATTCTCCATCCCATAAGCTATAGTCCAACAACACTGGACTTCTCACTTTCTCACACAGGACACTCTACATTTGTCCTCTTCGTTGGCACTGGTTGGTTCCACTGTCTGGAATATACTCTTCATTTTCGCTTTGAGAATCTCTCACTTCCCTCAAGAAGACAGCTCAAGCACCACTCACCTGTATCCTTTCCTGACCCTAATAGCTTGTGCTCCCCCTCCCAAACTACCTTCTAATTTTACTCCTTCTTATTTCTTTTGTATTCCCTATGTATCTACTCTGAATGTAC